ATCCCCCCCAACACGGCGCCACCTCGGCCGCCGACCAATCACCGTCGCACCACCTGCATTCGTGCTTTTGCCCGCACCGCCGGCCCGCGCGCCCTGGCCTTCAGCCGTCCCTCGTACGGCCACGCACGCCGGCCCCAGCCGCCGCGTCCGCGCCCACGTGCGTGTGCCTTTCGCCCAACCGCATTACCCCCCTCCATGCCCGTGCCGCGGTCTCCTGTCGTGCGTGTTGTTGGCCCGGTGGTGTGCCTATGGCGTGGACGAGTGCCGCGACACCGCACCGGCTTACAAGGAAACGCACCCATCTCACCCCAGGCAGCGGGCTGCGCGCGTTGCGGGCCGCGCCGCTGCGAGCGAGAACACGCCCCCCTCCTTCCCGCCGCGCCCCTGGGCATCCCACCGAGCGGCGCCGCCCGCCATACGGTTCAGGGTCTGCCGACGCGGGCGCAGCGGGCAGCAACGCGCCTGCACGCACACACACACGCACCATGCACGCACGCACACACACACAAGCACCCCACAGGGGTCCCTCAAAAGCGAGGGCGCCGCGCCGGGCGCCGGCACATTGCGGCTTATCACTCTCAAAGCTATAAGGGTGCACGAGCGAAGCCCACGACCCCCCGCCGCGAATCATTCGTCGCCCCTACACCGATCGATGCCACCCCCCAGGCTGCCTGTGGAAGCGGACGCACCTCAACCCCACCCCACGCACCCCGCGTGGCTGCGCACCGGCTACTCCCAGGCGGCGCCCGCGCCCTTTGGGCTCGGTTCCTGCGTTCTTACGCCTTCCCCCTCCAGACCACGCTACGGGCCCGGCAGGCACGTGGCGGCAGACGCCGCGGCCGCGCCACAAGCGGCGGCGTGCGGCCCCGCTCGCGGCCCTGCCGCCCCCGCCCTGTCAGCGGGCCGAACCGCAACCCTTTGACGCGCCGCGGCCCACCACGCCCCCTTCTGGCTGCGGCTTGCCATTCGGGATGTTGACGTTGCACGGCAAACGAGAACGGGGCTCATGTATTGGGGCTCGCTCCAAGCGGTGCGCCATGGGGTCGCTGGGGCGGTCTTTGGGCAGCAGACTCGGAATCGTTTACGCCTGTTTCTGGCGAGGACACACTTCCGCAGCCCCGCTCCCACGGGGCCGAGGCAGTGGCGGCCCTCCGCTGCTGCCCAACACTTGCCGCACCGCACTCCGCGCACGCGCCGCCCCGGCCCGGGCGCCCGCCGCGGCGCCCGGCGCCCGCGCATTTGCTTTAGCGTATGGGGGGGCCGCGGGCGCGGGATCTCATCCGTCATGCAGAAGCTATACCGGGAAGAGAGAAACGGGATTTTCACCAGGCAAGCACGGCGCCCTGAGGCCACGTGTCGCTGCCGCCGCCGCGCGGCTCCTCTCCCAACGGCGTGGCTGTGCACCGTGAACCCCGCGCGCCGCGGCGTGGCCGTCAGGGGCCCGGCTTTTTCAGTGCGCCACAGGCCGGGGTCGCGCGCCCTTCCGACCCCTGGCTTCTGCTTATGCATGTTGCTTCGTCTTGCCCCCCTCGTCAATGCGCTGGGCCTCTCCATGGGATTCTCCAAGGCGCAGATCAGATCACCTTGATCACACTGCCGCTCCCGCGCACTGCCCTTGACCACTTCGTTCGCCAGACGCATCCCTTGGCACGCCGGCCGCGCACATGCACGCCGCAGGCGTGCGAGCGCGGGCTTTGCCCTCCAACCCCCAGGCTTTTCGCTTGCACCCCCCACCCTTGCACGCCCTGCCAGTGCGACTTCGGAGGCGGCTCACGCGCGCCTCGCCCCCCTTGAAACGGGCATCAGGACACCCCGCAGCCCTCGGCCGCAGCGGGGGCCGGGGCCGGGGCGCGCGCGCGCCCGACTTGGGCGGCGCGCGCAACACCGGGGATTCAAGGGATTGTGTTTTATTTATGCGCCGGCGGAGCGTCGGCGCGGCCCCTGCCCATCAGGACCAGCAGAGCGCTGCAAAGCTTATTCCATCCGGCACTCGACCGCGCACACCCCGTCGCGAGGGGCACAGCCGCAGGTCACGCCGCGCCCTTATCAGGCCCCCCAACGGTCAAAGGCGAGCGGAAGGCCCGCGCTGCGGGAGGGACGTCGCGAGGAGGGAACTTTGTGTAACCGTTGACCGTTTGACCGCGGGGCTTCTGGGCAGTCTGGGCTGTGGCCAGTGCCAGGCGCCGTGGCCGTGTGGGGTGAATTGTCTGTGGGGGGCTCGGTTCGCTGGCTGACGTCCGGGGCAGCAAGTGCCGAGGGACGCCATGTTACTCCGCTTGCTCTCGGCAAACGCGTGGCCGGGGACGTGCGAGCCAGCACACGCATGCACGAGCGCGGCCTCAAGTCGCAAGACACGCCCAGCCCTGCGCGCCCGGCGCGGCCGCAGCGTCGGTGTCAGAAGGCCCAGCGCTCCCCCGCCTCGACCTTGACCTCTAGCGGCACGGCCAGCGGCCCCGCGGCGCCCCGCATGAGCGCGCTCACGGCGGCGCCCATGGCCGCCGCGGCGGCGGGGCCGCCCTCCACCTCGAACAGCAGCTCGTCGTGGATGGACGCCACAAGGACCGCGCGCGGCTGCTGCTGCTGCTGCTGCGTCTGTGGTACTTGCTGCTGCTGCTGCTGCTGCTGCTGCTGCTGCTGGTAGTCGTCCCATGCGCACATGGCCAGCTTGATGAGGTCTGCGGCGCTGCCCTGCGCATGTGCACGTGAACATGGGAGAAAAAGATTGTGTTTCCCAGCACAAGGAGTGTGTGTGTGTGTGTGTGTGTGTGTGTGTGTGTGTGTGTGTGTGTGTGTGCGCGTGCGTGCGCGCGCACGCGTGCGTGTCATAACTGAAAATTGTGTGTCACAACTGGAAAATGCGTTCGCGATTGGCAAGCGGGGACCTCTGATCGCGCTGCCATCTGGCCGCCTTCCAGCCAGGCGAGTAGGGAATGCCCCGGCACACCCCCCAAAACCAGCGCACCTGTATCTGGCTGTTGACAACGCGCCGCAGCGCCGCAGCGCGCGCCTTGGCGTCACGCGACCCCAGCCCATCGATGGGGCGCCAGCGGCCCAGCAGCGTCGGCACGCCGCCGTCGCGTGCGGCCTGCTGCTGCAGGCTGCGGGGGTTGGGGCGCGAGGAGCGGCACGGGCTCGAGTCGGCGGCGGGTTGGGATTTGGATTCTCGCGGTCAGGTGTTGGGGGAGCGCGGAGACAGGGAGAGACGCTATGGTGTGTGTGTGTGTGTGTGTGTTTGTGTGTGTGTGTGTGTGTGTGTGTGTGTGAGTGAGTGTTTGTTCGTGTTCGTGCGCACGTGTGCTTGCCTGCATGTGTGCGTCCCCACCTGGCAACCGTCAGGGGCCACGCGGCAAGCTGACAAAACAAGGAAGGGATCACGCACACAGGGCAGGCGTCGGAAGCGCGCTGCTGCTGCCGGCTTTCATCGTCAGCGCGGCGCAGGACGCCGCAGCACAACCGCCACACAGGGCAGGCCGCACGGCGCCGCCTCGGGCTGAGAGAAGCGCCGGCGCGCCGCTCCGGCCCCGCGATTGCGCGCGGCGGCGCCGCACCGGTCGATGTAGAGCTTCACTCCAGGGAATGCGTCCAGGAAGGAATCGATCAGCCGGGCCGCGTCCTGCGGCAGGCAGGTGGACAGGCGCGCCGCGCGTACACGCCATGATGTGCGTGTCGGGCCACCAATCTCGAAGGGCGAGCGCTTGCGGGGGGTGGGTGGGGCCGGCGGGCGACGGCGGCCGCAGCGCCGGGCGGCTGCTCGCGCTTCGCGCGGCTGGCGCGGGAACGGGGCACTGCGGGCAGGGCAGATGAGGCTTGCGGACGGGCCCAGACCCGCACTATGTCAATGCCCCCTGCGCATGCACTCGCGCGCACACACACACACACACAAACACACACACACACACACACACACACACACACACACACACACAATCGGTCACTCACGTGCACACACTCTGACTGTGCACAACGCACCCACCCCAAAGGGCGAGTTTGTTGGCAAGCTTGCCGAGCTGGTGATAAAGAACTACGGCACCTCCCACGGCATCAAAAAGTCCGACATATACGTGGTGGAGGGCAAGAAGAAGCGGCCCTACTTTGATGACGAGGACGGCGGCGGCGGCGACGAGTGACATGGCGCCCTGCGTGGACCGCCCCGCGGGCGCCCGCGGCGCGGCGGCCGGGCGCGCTGGCAGGCGCGCGTCGGCGCAATTTTGCGGGCGCGATGAGTTTGGAAGCTGGCGGTTGTAGCGTGATGGGTATGGCAAACACCCAAATGCCGGGTTCAGGGTGATGGTTGGCGCCGGCCCTCTCGGCTGCGTTGTACCTAGTGTAGGTTTTGCTGCTGTTTGGTAAGATATGCTGTGGTGGTGTGTGGGGGGAGAGGGGGCAGCGGGTAGCAGGGCGGCTTTGGAAGGGGTGCCAGGCGAGCCAGTGAGCCAACAGCGGCGCCCGAAAGGCCAGGACTGCTGCGGATGTGGTGCGTGCACACAGCAGCTCAGGTGGCTGTGAGTGGCATTGGGTGTTTGTGCCAGGGTTGGGGCGCACCCATACGCGCATCACCTTGGTCCCTGCACATGCGCTTCATGAAAGCTCAAAAAGGTGGCATCTTTGGTGAAGGAGTGAGTGGACGATCGACACAGCACCCGCCCAAGTTTGTCGGTCGGCCGCGCGATGGGGTGGCTCAGGGGCTGGACCAGCGGCTAGGACCATCCGAAGAAACAGGGGTGGGCACCTATTGAGAGGCAGCGCGGCAGAGTGCACACTGCTCGAATCATTCCTTGCACCTCTCCCGCCATACACCTCCCAGCTGCACCCTGCCATACGCACCTCGCAAGCCCGCCCTGCCTGCACCCTCGTGGGCGCAGGCGCCAGCGCGCGTACCGCGCACAGCCGACCCGGCAGCGCGCTTTGCCCTTTCATGAGCTGATACAAGTCCTTCAGATCTTGCGGCCTGGCATGGGCAATACACGGATCATGAGACGATGCCAGCGTCACTGGGTGACAGCAGGGCCACCGCGACGAGACGAAGCGGCCTCGCCCCCTGCAGCACCCAGGCAGCGTGCTGACCGCGCTTATGAGCGCCTTGAAGAATATTTCATGAAACACAGCTGCTGCTCACCATCTGCCTCGTAGCGCTGCGCTGTTTGATCCGGTTCGAAAGCATATCCATCGGACAGTCAGGGTCCGCGCTTGCCAAGTTGGGTGGCTCGAAGGCACGATTCATACTGCTGTAGACCTTTTGTCGCGGGCTCCACGCTCCTTGTTGCGATCGCACTTGCCGCTGCTGCCACACACCAGCACGTGGGGCAATGCGCCGCGCCCCTGGTTGCCCGGGCGGCACGGCCGCCCGCGGCAGCAGCGCCTCTACTAATTGCCCACTTAGGTGCGCCCAAGCGGTCTCTCCCTGACCTGTATGCAGCGAGCATGGCGAATCCTTACAATGCATGACTGTGCGTTGACCAATGGGTGGGCGGGAACGACAGCCAGCCGCGCGATCGGACGCTGTGCCCCGCCAAAGCCCCCCAACCCTCCGCCCCGCCCACGCCCGCCGCGTCTCCGCCCGCACGCAGGCGCGGCGCCCCCTGCGGCGCCCCGCGGGCCCCGGGCCGTGGCCGCAGGGCCGACGGCGTCAGCCGCCCGCCCGGCGCCCTCTTCATACCCGCCGCGCACGTCGACGCGCCACCTGGCCCCGCGCCCTTCGCCACGCTGCCGTCCTCCCCGGAGCCCGCCGCCCCCCAGCAGGCCCCGGGATCCCACGCGCAGGCTGGCGACAGCAGCGCCGCCGCCGTCCCGCTGCCGCCGCATGAGGCGCAGCAGCTTGGCCCGGAGCACCAGCAGCAGCAGCAGCATGCCGCAGCCGGCGCCGCCCTGCAGGCGACAACGGAGGCAGCGGAGCCGTTCTCACGCGCCGGCAGCGTGCCCCTGGCGGGCGGCGTGCTGGAGCTCGTCCGACTGGAGGGGGACCGCTTGCTGCGCGTTTGGCTGCCGCCGGGTGCGAGGGCTGGCACAAACGCGAACCGCATGCTTGCGCCCGCATGCGCGTGTGCCGCATGCGTCGAGCATCGACCCCTCCGTCACGTCACCCGCACTCCCAATCTTCAGCCTTATTGTGCTCCCAAATGATCCACCCTTCGGCCGCCCCGCCCCTGCACCATCACCCCTGCTCCCCCCCCTCCTGCAAGCAACTTGCGCTCCGGCCGAACCCACTTCATCCCTGCTGCACACCCACACACCTCTCCCCGCCTCACACACCCTAAAACACCCAGGTTACACCCGCACCGAGGCCTCGCGTAATCCCTACCCCCTGCTGCTCCTGAATGACGGCCAGAACCTCTTCAGCGACGCCCTCTCCTTCAGCGGCGCCTCCTGGCGCGCCGCCGACACCGCGTCGCGCCTGATCACGTCGGGCGAGCTGCCGCCGTTCTGCGTGGTCGGGATTGACCACGCGGGGGCGGAGCGGTCGCGCGACTACCTGCCTTACAAGCCCGGCACGGGGCCGGGTGCGTCGGGGCTGCGGCCCTGGGGTGATCGGGGCAGCGGCGGCGCTGCCGCGGGGCAGCGGTGATCGGGGCAGCGGCCAGGCTGCCGCGGCGGGCTCGACCGGCACGCACGAGAGAGAAGCCTAAAAACTTCTGCAGATGGTTACGCAAGCACACGGACTGCTCTGAGACGGCCGACACAATCTGCCTGTCCCAGACGCCAACCCCTCTGCACTTTGTTGAACTCTCGACGTCGGTTGATGATCCCCGCAGGCGGCTTCCGCCCCGACGCGGCGGACTGGCCGGGGGGCGGCGTGGAGGCTTACATGACGCGCGTCATGGACGAGGTCGTGCCCTGGCTCGCGTCCGCCTACGGCACCGCCCCCGGCGGCCCCGGCCTCGCGTTCGGCGGCTCGTCGTTCGGGGGCGTCTGCGCGCTGTGGGCGGCGATGCGGTACCCGGAGCGGCTGGGGGCGGCGCTGGTGGAGAGCCCATCCCTCTGGTTCGCCGACGAAAACTTCCTCAGGTGCATGTCACGATGAGGGGGTGTGGGAGGGGGTGGGCGCCAACTGGAAATAGTGAGCGTGTAGTGCCTGCGACGCAGATCTCTGCCGTGGGGCACGTCAATGCGACGTGTGTGGAGTGGCAGAGACTGCACAGCGGCGGCGCTGCGCGGCTGCGGCTTCACGGCGTTTTCTTCAAGCGCCCCCCGCGCGATCCAAACCCGCCAATCGAGGCAGCCCTTAACACTGCACAACACCCCGCTTGACGTCCGCCATCCCCCAGGGAGGACGTCGCCGCGTACGAGGGGCCGTGGCCGCGCCGCGTGTTCCTGGCTATGGGCAACCGCGAGTACAGCGGCGTCCGCGCGAGCCCCGGCCCCCAGTGGGACGCGCTGCTGGTGTCCTACTGCGAGGACCTCGCGGCGCTGCTGGGGGCCAAGGGGCTGGGGGAGGACCGGCTCAAGTG